CACACAGGCTGCCCCAGGGACAGCCTGCCCGAGTGACCCCAAGCTCAGGGGCACCGCCGGGCACACCGGGCACTGCCAGGCAGAGGCAGATGCCAGCCTGGCTGGGCAGGAAGGGGCTCAGGGGGGCACAGGACTCAGGGGCTCCCCAGCAGTGAAGTGCCCTTGGTGCAGCACATGGGTACCTGGCTGGGGGCACCGCGTGTGCCTGCGTGCCGGTGCCACAGGGCACACTGGCCTTGTGTGAGCCAGCACTGCCTGGCAGAGGTGGGGTGCACGTGTGAAACCCTTGGGATGTGCACTCACGTCTCCCTCCGTGCAGGGCACTGCTGTGGGACTGCGACCAGCCGGGAGGACACGGACTCTGGGCTCTCCTGGCACCTGCCTGGCCATCGCTGCCCTCACATGGGGTAAGCCACCCTCAGTGAGCCCAGGGTGACCCCGCTGCCAAGGGCTCTGCGGCTCTGGGAAGCTGGAGAAATGTAGCATTGTTATTTTGGGGCTTGGTCAGTCACAGGGGTCCCCCTGGGCTGGGAGGGAGCTGCTCCTGCTTGTGCCAGCTGCCTCCGGGCACACTGTGCTCCCCTGGGGGACCAGGGCTGGGCTCCCTGCAGGATGTTTGCTTCCCCAGATGCGGTGTGGCAGCTGCTGCAGTCCTGTGAACCGGGGAAAGGCAGAGGCAGCTCTACCCACTGCCTACACCCACGCTTGTGCTGGGGAGCTGGGCATGGATGGAGCCCCAGGGCCCACGGGTGTGAGGGTTCACACACAGCTGGGGCAGCACCACACACAGCTAGAGCTCCTAATTGACATTGGGAGTACAGAAACTCGCCTGCTTTTGCTGTCTGTAGGATATTTCCTTCACAGAGCAAAACCTACTGGTGCTCTGTCCCTGGGAATCCCCTGTGAGCTGAATTATCACCCTAAGAACCTTAGTGGGTGAGCTAAGGAACAGAAACGAGGCAAGTGCAGAAGTGTCAGGAGGAGGCTGAGATTTGGCTCTGAGAGAAAACAAAAAGGCAAAGGCACCTCAGCTGCAGAGGGAAGAGGTATCAGGGCTGCCAGGGGAGCCAAGGGGTCAAAACACAGGAAAATGTGGCCCATCTGGGGGCTGAGCACCAGCTGGGGCAGGGACAGGCAGCACAAGACAGGGGAGATGAGCTGTGCCACAGGGAGGGTGTCACTGGTGGAGCTGGAGGAAGGAGGTGGGAGGAGAGCATGTGGAGGATACAGACACAGAGCAGATGTCAAATTTAGGGATGGGCTGTGTGAGGGTAGCAGGCAGCTGCCTTGAGCCGTGCTGGGGAGCAGCAGGGGCCAGGAGGAGGGTGGTGGGAGCTGAGGATGGGGCAGGCTCCAAAAAGGTGCCCTGAGTTCCTGTCCTGCAGCCCTGAATTCCCAAAAGGTAAAGAGAGAACCACATTTTCCTCAGCTTCAGTTCTGCTGAACAAAGAGAATAGTTTGCTCTTTCACAAGAAAAACCAGACAAATTATGGGAAATTACTTAAAAAAAGATGTATAACAATGGACCAAAGCACAGCCCTAATCAGACTTTAGAAGATGTGTATTTGCATCTAATCTGCAATGCCCAGATCCTTGCCTAAGTGCAGTGTGAGGATGCTCTCTGAGAGGAAGCCAGGCTGGTTGTGTGGAGCAGCCTTTGATCCCCATCTCGCTTTCTGCACAGATGGAGATATGATATCCCCACATCACTTTCTGCAGTTGTGGAGATAGCTGCTCCTGGGGAGAATGGAGGAAGCTTCTTTCTGTGGCTAAAAGCCTTTGATTGCATAAAGTTGTGGTGTGAAATGCTGTAAATAAGAGCAGGGTTTCAGCAAAGTGCCCTTCACTTCTGGGTGTGGGTTCCAGTTACTTTCTGGCTTTTCCCTGCCTGGTGGGCATGGCCATGATGTGAGCTTGTTTTTGAAAGACCTTGTTTTGCAACACCGAGTTTTACAAGACTCTAGACCATCTCTGTCTCAGATGAGCAGGTTGGGGTCCAAGTGCTTTCGGGGGGTGAGGGCACACTGGCTGCTCTGTCTTGCTCCGATCTGGCTCTCATGTAGCAGGGTAAAGCAGGAAAACTGAAGTGTGTGTTTCTGCACCGCAGGAAGGAACTGTGCTTACAGAACCATCTTCAAGTGGGGCTTTCCCCTTTGGGAAGCTCTTGTGGGGAACGGGGCTGAACTTGCAGTCCTCGTGCTGGAGGAGGGGTTGGCATCACTGCTTGGGGCTCTTCTGCCTCCTGTGCTCTGCCTGCCCATCTCAGCCTTCACCCTGTCACCTCCACCTTCCTCACGCCTGCGCCATCCCCTCTGTCCTCAGCTCCTTCTGCCATGCCTGATCCAGCCACACCTTGGTGTACCCACAGGGTCCCATTCTCATCCACACTCACCCCTTCATCCAATCCCTTCACCCAGCCCATCACAGCCTCTCTCGGCCGAGGTGTCAGGCTTAGCCCACCCTCATGTCCCAAGGGATCCCATCCCTGGCCCAGCTCCCATCCCTTGTGCATCAATCCCAGAGCTCGTCCCCCTCACAGGCACGGTGCTGTGGGTGGAGGTGGGTGCCTGGACGTACCACTACAGCGACCAAGGGGACTACACGTGGGAGCAGGCCAGGAATTACTGCCAGACCTTCTTCACCGACCTGGTGGCGATCCAGAACCAGCAGGAGATCGAGTACCTCAACAGGAGCCTGCCCTACCACAAGCACTACTACTGGATCGGCATCCGCAAGCTGGGTGGCACCTGGACCTGGGTGGGCACCAGGAAGGCGCTGACCAAGGAGGCGGAGAACTGGGCCCTGGGGGAGCCCAACAACCGCCGCTCCAACCAGGACTGCGTGGAGATCTACATCCAGCGGCCGCAGCAGGCCGGCAAGTGGAACGATGAGCCCTGCAGCCGCAAGAAAAAGGCGCTGTGCTACCAGGGTGAGCAGGGGGACCGCGGTGCAGAGCTGGGCACCTCGGCAGGGTGAGCTGGGCACCTCGGCAGGGTGAGCTGGGCACCTCGGCAGGGTGGGCTGGGCACCTCGGCAGGGTGGCCAGCTGCTGCTGATGGTCGTGCCCTGCGTGTGCAGCCTCCTGCCAGCCCTCACTGTGCAGCCAGCGCGGAGAGTGCCTGGAGACCATCGGGAGCTACCGCTGCCAGTGCTACCCCGGCTTCCAGGGCCCCGAGTGCACGGATGGTGAGACACCCATCCCCACCCCTCCCTTTGTCCCTTTGGGGTGACAAAGCAGGGTTCTGCTGCTCCTAAGGGGCAGTGGCACCATGTCTCTCCCAGCTGTGCAGTGTGCCAGGCTGGAGCCCCAGGGAGTGACCGTGAGCTGCAGCCATCCCTACGGAGACTTCAGCTACAACTCCAGCTGCGAGTTTGGGTGTCCCGAGGGGTTTGAGCGGCGAGGGGCGGCCGTGCTGCGCTGCCTGCCTTCCCAGCAGTGGTCAGCAAACATCCCCACCTGCACAGGTAGGGCCTGGCAGGGGCTGGGGGGCTACAGGGACCCTGCAGCTGCGATGCAGCATTGATGCTTTGGGGGGACCAGCCCTGTGTGCCCAATGCTGTTTGGGCAAGTGTTGCCGTGCCCTTACCTGTTGAGGAAGCATCTCCTGGTGCTGCATGTGAGGTGGGATTCCCTGAGGAGCTGCAATGGGCAGAGCAGCTGTGAGCTGAGGCCCTGTTCTGCCTGGCTGTCCCAGTGGCCGTGAGTCCCACTCAGATAGCAGCACCCTGTGTGCACCAGGCACGGGGTCAGGATGGTGTCCTGGCTCCTCTGTCAGCCCTGGGGCACCGTCTCTCTGCCCTGGCCCACCCTGATCTGCCTTGGGAAGGCATTTGGCATCTTTGGAAAGAGAAAGGGGGCTGCTGTCCCACAGCCAGGGGAAGGGTGGATCCTGGCAGGGGTGGGACACATTCAACAGGCATAAGGACTCCAGAAATGATGTTAGAAATAAGCTGGGAGGGACAGAGTGTGGCAGGAAACCACACAGGAGAGAAAGGTGTGGTATGTTATGCTGCAGGGGCAGAGAAAGTCTTCCTTCAGTGGCTTGAGGGTTTGCAGCCAGGCACCAGGCATCCCCGAGAACTGCCAGGCTTTTTGGGGGTGCAAGAGCCTCGCTCCACCTTTCCTGTACTGCTCTGTGGCACACCTTGCACAAGGATGGGGTGGGTGGGGGACTGCAGCAGACATGGGACACAGATGGGGACCCTCTGTAGTGAGAAGGAATGGGGGTGGGCAGCATCTTTGTATAAATATTCTTTTTAAAAGAAGCCTGCCTTGAGTTAGTGCTGCTGCTGCTGCCTGCGCAGGGCGGGCCTGTGGTCCAGCCCAGGACCTGAGGCAGCTGAGAGCAGCAAAACTGTCTGCAGTTAAGGGGAACAGGGATGGAGACTGCTCTGTAACCAGTATCCCCAGCAGGGGCAAGGGCAGGAGCTGGCTCCCAGTTTTGTGAAAATCCCCACAAGCAAGCTGGGCTGAGCCTGTGTGCTCCAGGCTTTTTAAGCTCCCAGGGGCTTGCTTTCCCAGCTTGTTGTTTTTTCCGGCTGGCTGTGAGATGATTGATTTTTGTTTTATTACAAACACTCAGATGAGTCAGTCGGTTGCCTGTGCTGATAACAAAATGGTGTTGGCAAGCATTGCCAGCTGGGCTTACTCCAGAAACAAGAGCAAGGCTGCAAGCAAGGCTGATGGTGCTGCAAGGACAGAGGGACAAGGCTGCCTGCCCTGCCTCCAACTCTGCCCCACACCTGCCTGCAGCCATGGTGTGCCCACTGCTGCCTGCCCCAAAGGGGCTGGGTCAGCTGCTCCCACCTGCACAGCATGCTCACCAACAGGCACCTCTGGGGACTCTGGGCAACCAGGACTGCCTGGAAAATAGCCAGGAAAGGAAAAGTCCACCCAGGAAAGCGCTTGGTGTCAGTCTGAAAGCAGAAGATGCAGTGAATGCAGTCTGTCTCTGCTGGGCTGGGTGGTGTTAATGCCCTGCTGGCACTCACCTTTGGTGGCAGCAGAGCCACTCACCCCAGAAAACCTTGGGTATTGCCCTGGCATGCAGCAAAACACACTCTGGGCACAGGCTGGGGAGGCTGGTACACAACCTCTTTAGCCACTGCCGTGGGTTACACACCCAAAGCCACCCTCCTGCCACTGTGACAGAGGCTGGTCTCTGCTCCAGGAAAGGGAGGGAGGTGAATGGGACTGCAACAGCTGTGGTCCTTCCTCCCAGCGGCTTTGGCCCAGGGAGTGAAAGGGATAAACAGGGCTCTGGCAGAGCAGCAACTTTGTCCCCCCAACAAAATCACTTGTAGGGCAGAAAAATCATTGCAGCAACTACAGATTTGAAGAGGTGAGTCTGGGTAAGATTTGATTTGGATTCAGCCTGAATCATGAGATTTAACCTCATCTATCCCATCTCTGAGATCTGCTCTCCCATTGCAGCCATCACCTGCCCAGTGCTCAGAGCTCCAGAGCAGGGAGAGCTGAACTGCTCCCACCTCCATGGGAACTTCACCTTTGGCTCCACGTGTGCCTTCTCCTGCCAGGCAGGGTTTGTGCTGATGGGGCCAGAGAGCCGTGAGTGCACAGCCACGGGGACCTGGACTGGGGATGAAACAAGATGTGAAGGTAGAGCTGCTGCTAGAACTCAGGGTGTCACTGTCTGTGGGGTGACTCTAGGGTTTCCCCAGTCTCTCAGACACCTAACACTTTAGCCATGTAGTTCCCTGGCTCCCCCTTGAAGTGTTTCTCTGTCCCTGCAGCCATCACCTGTCCAGTGCTCAGAGCTCCAGTCCAGGGAGAGCTGAACTGCTCCCACCTCCATGGCAACTTCACCTTTGGCTCCACGTGTGCCTTCTCCTGCCAGGCAGGGTTTGTGCTGATGGGTCAGGAGAGCCGTGAGTGCACAGCCACGGGGACCTGGACTGGGGATGAAACAAGATGTGAAGGTAGAGCTGCTGCTCAAGGTGCCACAGGCCTTGGGCAGACCCTGGGATGTTTTCTTTTTATTCCTCTCATTACAAGAGTTCAGCCTCAGTCCCCAGGCTCCTGCCTGAAGTGTGCTTCTTCACTCTGCAGCCATCATCTGCCCAGTGCTCAGAGCTCCAGTCCAGGGAGAGCTGAACTGCTCCCACCTGCATGGAGATTTCACCTTTGGCTCCACGTGTGCCTTCTCCTGCCAGGCAGGGTTTGTGCTGATGGGGCCAGAGAGCCGTGAGTGCACAGCCACGGGGACCTGGACTGGGGACACCCCTCGCTGTGAAGGTAGAGCTGCTGCCACAGCTCAGGGTGTCATTGGCCTTGGGGTGACACTGTGATGTGTCCCAGCCCCTTGGTCCCAGCAGTGCAGTCTCCCTGGCTCCTTTCTGAGCTCTGCCTCTTTACCCTTGCAGCCACCAAATGCACAGCACTGAGCACTCCAAAGATGGGCCAGGCTGCCTGCTCCCACCTCCATGGCAACTTCACCTTTGGCTCCACGTGTGCCTTCTCCTGCCAGGCAGGGTTTGTGCTGATGGGGTCAGAGAGCCGTGAGTGCACAGCCACGGGGACCTGGACTGGGGACACCCCACACTGCAAAGGTAAATCCTGTGGTCTCACACGTCTGGGAGGGCCCTGCTGCAGCAGAGTGCTCTCCCCAGCACCCTGGGCTGTCACTTTATCCCCTGGGCTGTCAGTTTATCCCCTGGGCTGTCAGTTTATCCCCTGGCTTGCCAGCCCACACCTCCCCATCCCACTGCCATCGGTCCTGTCCTCTTGATGCTCCTGCTGTGCTTTATCTCCAGCCATCAGCTGCCCAGAGCTGGCCCCCCCCAGCAGAGCCCAGCTGAGCTGCTCTCACCTGCACGGGAACTTCACCTACAACTCCACCTGCAGCTTCTCCTGCCAGGAGGGGTTTGTTCGGATGGGAGCAGAGATGCTCCGGTGTGAGGCCACGGGGAAGTGGACCAGGGATCCCCCTGTCTGTGCAGGTACAGCGGGACCCCCCAGCTCCTCTGGCACTGCCGAGGTTCCAGCTTTCCTCCAAGCACATCTTGAATGTGGTGGAGGGGGAGTCCCCAGGGCTGTGAAGCCCTGACAACATTCTAACCTGTGGCTCTGTGGCTTTGTTTCAGAGGATGGTGCCTTCCTAAAGCAGGTCCTGGCTTACAGCAGCGGCTCAGCGCTGGCAGTAGCTGGTGTTGTGCTCTCTGGGGGGCTCATTGCCCTCCTTGCCAGGAAGCTCAGTGACAGAGGTACAGAAATGCCTCCTGCAGCCCACCCGAGCTTTGGCCAGGGGCTCTCAGGCAAGGTGGTCACAGTCCCAGGGGAGGCTGGGGTGATCAGGAGAGTTTAACAGTGTGACTGCCTTTATTCACATGTTTTATCTGCTGAGTTGTTTGGGTCCTGGGCAGTTTGTCCAGCTCAGTGTCAGCAGCCAGGTTTGGAGGGTAGAGCCACATAATCACTCTGAGGAAGGCAGCAAAGGCTTGTTAAAGCAGCCCCACCCCATGCTTGCTAAACTCTGCTCAATTTCAGATGCTGCTGCTGCAGCTTCTCATCACCTTCACTAAACAGAGCTGGTTATTTCTTTTCTATGTGCTTTATCCCCATGGACATTTCAACACTGTTACCAGAGGAGAAGAAGAAGCTCCTGAAACCCACCAGGTGAGAGCCGTGCTCTGCAGGAGGGTGGCTCTGCCCTGTGACTGTCACAGCCCTGTGTTCATCCTGCTGACACCCAGAGCTGCCTGTGTGGGGCTGTTTTTATACTGGAGCATGCATCATTCAGCACTGGCAGGGTACTAACCCCTGCCCTTCACACACACCTGCACTCCCCGAGGTGACACCCTTGTGCTTGCCTTCCAGCGACCTGGGAGCGCCGGGCACCTTCACCAACGCAGCATACGATGCCAACCTGTGAGGTGAGGGCAGCTGGGACCCTCGCAGCACCCTGTTCTAAATTCACCCGGGGTGCTCCTGCGTGGGGCCAGCCCTCGGGACGGATGTGGGTAACACCGGCTCCATCTCTGCTGTGCTGCCAGGCTGCCCGAGTGAGAGCCACCGTGTGTCCCAGGGCTGCAGGAGCTGGAGCACAGAGGGGCTCCATGCCCGTGCTGGTAGCCTGGCCTGGCCCTGGGCAGTGCCACCACGCTGTGTGCAGCATTCCCTGGGCAGGGGAGCTGGGCAGTGCCAGCACTGTGTGCAGCATTCCCTGGGCAGGGGAGCTGGGCAGTGTCACCACGCTGTGTGCAGCATTCCCTGGGCAGGGGAGCTGGGCAGTGTCAGCACTGTGTGCAGCATTCCCTGGGCAGGGGAGCTGGGCAGTGCCAGCACTGTGTGCAGCATTCCCTGGGCAGGGGAGCTGGGCAGTGTCACCACGCTGTGTGCAGCATTCCCTGGGCAGGGGAGCTGCCTCCAGTGCGGGCAGTGCAGACCCAGCAGGGCCGGGA